CCTCTTCCCAAAAATTTTTATATACCCATTGGCTTCTTTTCCCCCCCCAAATATAAAAAAAACCACAAAAAAAAAAAAAAAAAAAAAAAAAAAAAAAAAAAGACAATTGTTCTTTTTCTTGAACCATCGATTTCTGTCTTGAATGCCTGTATTCATAAATGATTTGCTGGACCAGTCGGTCAAATTAAGCACCAGATGGTTGTGTAGTGTAGTGGTCATCACTCCAGATTTTGATCAGAAAGTTATTTATCAGGACCTTGTGGTTCTGCTTTCGGTTCTCAATCTTCTGGAAACCCCGGTTCGAACCCGGGCACGACCTCAATGATTGTTTATTTTTTGCTTCGCGGTGGCCTGAAGCTTATAGTTTAAGGGTTTGTCTAGTTTTTGTTTTTCTTCGCTTGTCCCTTTTTGCCCCTCTTCTTCTAAGTATGACTGAAGGAGTGAATGTTTGGCCTTGCAAGGGGGGGTTTTTAAAGGAGTCGCTGAAAGGATTGCCGAGTAGATAAAATGGGATAAATATGTGCTTTCAAGTCACGGTCTCCTTTACTTTTGAGACTGTAGTATACTTCCAGTTCATTTTGCTCTCCTTCGGTGACTTTTTAATGATGGCTGGGTTTTGATATGTTGAACGGATGCAAGTAAACTCCTGATCTATCTATCTAGACATTACGCTGTTCCACTTGCTGCGATATCAATTTCGAAAAAAATTAAAAAAAAATCAAAAAAAAAAATTGCTGATTTAATATCTCTCTTGATGGTTTTTATTCAATCAGACTTTATTAGAAGAGAAAGCCTGTAAAAGGCAGGGAATGATCTTTGTGCACTCGTAGTGTTGACCGCTGCAGGGACAGATTTCCTCAGCTTCTGCCTCACAAATGAACTGTTGGATAAGCTGTAGCCATTTTTGACGCCGCCGTTAGGATAAATGCGTAGAAGTCGGATGTATTGTTCAGACTACCTACCTTATATCTGTGGCATCCTGCTGACCAAACGATGGCTTTCGTCTCAGTTTCAAACATATAGGAAAGCATCTGGCGTATTCAACAATTCAAATCACAATAAACCAGCAAAAAGAACGCTTCTATCGTCTTTACACCAAAGACTACCGGAAGGTCATCCACGTTGCTTTCTTACTACCGTCCAAGACGACACCCCCAATGGACCTTCAGTTTTGACGTATCCAGGTAGTCAACGTTCCTTGGAAAAAATTTTTTTTGGATGGATTGCTGTCCCAAAGCATCCTCGACAGGCATATCGATCACCTTGACATGCCTTAGGGCGGCTTCCTCCCAATTTATCTCGGTGGCTTGCAAGTGATTCCGATTCTTCGTGGTCATCATGGTAGCAGTGAGCCTGGGGTTTTGGTTTTTTGAAGAGTGGGTTAATGCGGGAACATATTCTGGCGTGCTCATCAGGTTCCGGAGCCGAATCGCAAAATTTGCCAAGGTATGTGTATTGATGGGATTCGCGGCATAACCAGAATTGGGTCAAAGATGTGTCGGATATTATGAAGCCGTGAATATAATCACTCGTGAAAAATTTCCGATAAAATCCAAAGATGAAATACCTATACACCAGGTAATAGATACCACTTCGCGTCCTTCTGAGGCAGTCCCGGGGGCTCGGTCTAGAGATTTAGGACACTCTGGATGCTGGCACTCCCCGGCATACTGCCAAGATCTAGATCCAGGTTTCCACCCTTTCTTCCGTTATTGCAGTTTGTGTAGTGCCGAGACATGCTGAAAGTTTTTGTCATACATGAAATCATCAGCATCATGAATGGGTGTGTCCCGGCGGATCTAGAAAAATGTTGAAACTAAGAGAAGCTTTCCACTTCATCTAGAGCCTCCGCCGTCAAGAAGGGTGGCAAATTTCCTGTCGCGGAGATGACAGGACTATCAAACTTGTGCTTGGGGTATTTCCAGCTGCGTTCTCCTTGATACCGCTCACGCGACCACTCATGATGATCCCTGGTAACTCTGGCATCACGCTTTCTGTAGGTAATTAGATCTTGAAGTTGTTCGGGAGTTCCGAGTGCTGAACCTGGGATCAGCCAGCCCAATGCGCAGGAGGAACCTCGAAATCAGTACGTACAGTAATTATATCCCCCGGGCGGCTTAGAACGAGGGCTCCGGGGCTCTCCCACCCTGATTAATATCAGGATAAGTTAGCATAGGGCTTACTAGGCCTTTTTCTTTTCTTTTTCTATTTCCCCCCCAAACTTAGCAGCTGAAGTTTGAATTCCTCAAGCACTCGAGCCCAAGTAACAGTCATCTTCTTTATCTGGTATCCTCCTCTTGGCCTTCCCTTGGCGTAGATGAACGTGGATTTGCCAAGTAACGCCTCTCAGCAGGATGCCAAGATGGTCCACGGCCGAGCACGGATGGGAGCGAAAAAAAATGGGAAGCTGAAGAAAGCAGTGAGAGAAACGATAGAGGAGCCCGACCGTAGGCGGCAAATCCCGACGGACTCCCAATTGCGATGTACTCCAGTTTTCAGGATGGAAAGAGCTCCGAAGAGGCAGGCTGCCTTGCATCTCCATCCCATCCTAGGTTTCATTGGGACTTCCTCCCCAGAGAGTCACACAGCTGCTGATGCGGCTGGGATTCACCCGAGAGGAGATCCCAATGGGGCGAAAGTTCACCCACTTCATTTCTCTCGTGTCATTTTGGCGCATTTCTGACCGAGAGACATGGCTCGCGACACCACAGTCCTAGGAATTCGGTAGCCCTGAACAAAAACTGGAAGAGATGGTCACTCTCGTTGCCGAAAAGAGACGTGCCAATGTCAGCTTTTGGAAACCACAAACGAGGTGATTTCCAGAAATATGGATGGCGGCGTTGATCGCAAAAAAAGTCGACTGCTCAATAATTCAAGGATTCTATCTCAGTGTAGACGCTTAGCAGTCGCACCTCTATTGTTCATGGAGCATCACTTACAAGCAAATGTCCAAGACTTTTCGTACAGGAAATGTAGTTCTTGGCTCAATGGGCAGCCAAGAAACGAGGAAGCGAGAGCGGCCCTTCAGCTATGAGGGGATTGGTTGCTGACAGTTCTAAGCAGCCATGGCCCTCTTGGAAGTCTTGGAGAAAGCGCTTGGCCAGCACGTTTTCTGTTCTTCGCTCGTGATTTATACAGCCAGCCCCCCACCGTTTCCAATATTTTTCCATTGGGGGCTTGCATGACGCCATTTGGGAGCCTTCGCCACGCAAAGACGATGACCGGAGTGCCTATTTCGTTGAGGTTGTTGTCGTCCTGCTCATGCGCCAAGTGCGCGCGTCGTTTGCTGGGCAAGCCATGAATGATGGTGGGAAAAGGAAGAAAAAAGAGAAAGCCAAGGGAAGTCGGGTCCAGGTCGCTCAGCCAAGACCTTGCATGCCTTTTATAAGACCTATCAAGCTCCCCGGTTTCGACGCCCGACAGAATTGCGTGCTCACCAAGGGGGGATTTCACCATCGATACCACAGAGCGCCAGGCGGGCCCAGAACACACCCAACCAACATACCAGGTGAGCACCAAAGCATGCTGTTCTATGCACAACGGGAAGGGGATAGGTACCTACTGTACCTACCGCACCTTGTCGGATATTCCGCCGCCCAGGTCCAGAACCATACCATCCATGGATCCTCGATGATCATCCCAGGGCGTTGCCCGCAAGCTATCTCAAGCCTTCCCATGCAGACTCAAGTCTTGGGATGGGGGTGGAAAAAAACAAACTGAGAAAAGAGCCCTTGGCGGACGCCCTCTGGTCGATATAAGGTCTCTTTCCCAGAACTCTGGCATTGCATTCTCTCCTTGTGCAATCTCGACAAGGGAATTGGTTTGCTGTCTTCCATTGTTGGGTGACTTTGCGACTCTGATTCCTCTCGGAACTCCGTAACGCGGCCTCGCTTCTCCACCCCTAAACCGACCCGGTCTTGGTCTAGGTAACGAGGACCCTTGGTGCCTTAGTTCTCCAGCCAATTTCGTCACCCCCCATCTGCCGGAGCTAAACCAAATACCTGCAACCATGGGACTCTCTGAGAAGAAGGCAGACGCCGAGTACCCTCCTCCCACAGAGGACCAGCAGGCCCTCACCCTCGTCGAGGACTGGTCGCCCGAGGAGGAGGCCAAGGCAAAGAGGAAGCTTGATTTGATTATCATGCCCCTCCTAACGCTCGGTTTCTTTTGCCTGCGTATGTGTTACAGCTAAGCCCACAGCCATCTCCATCACACACAGTCATGACTCGTGCTAATAAACCCCCTTAGAACTTGATCGCGGAAACATTTCCAACGCCATCACCAGCTCCTTCTTCAAGGATGTCGGCATCACGCAGAACGAGTTCAACGTCGGCCAGCAGATGCTGTCGCTGGGCATCGTGCTCACCGAGATCCCCGCCAACATGTGCCTGTACCGCGTCGGGCCCGGCAAGTGGCTGACCCTCCAGCTGTTCCTCTTCGGCATCGTGTCCACCTTCCAGGCGTGGCAGAACAATTATGCCTCCTTCATCGTCACCCGCTTCCTCCTCGGCATCACCGAGTCGGGCTTCATCCCCGGCGGCCTCTGGACCATGTCGACCTGGTACACGCGCTCCGAGACGGCCAAGCGCGTCATGATCTTTTACTTTGGCAACCAGATCGGCCAGGCCAGCTCCAAGCTGCTCGCCTACGGCATCCTGCACATGGAGGGCGTCGGCGGCAAGCCCGGCTGGTTCTACCTCTTCACCCTCATGGGCGGCTTCACCATCCTCTGCGGCTTCGTCTACGGCTTCTTCCTGCCCGACTCGTTCCGCAACCCGTGCTCGACCTTCCTCCCCGGCCGCAGAGTCTTCACCGACCGCGAGCTCCACATTCTCCAGACCCGCGTCCTGCTCGACGACCCCATGAAGGGGCAAAAGAAGAAGAAGATCAACCTCGGCGCCTTCAAGCGCGCCTTCACCAACTGGCGCCTGTACGCCCACGTCGCCATCTCGATGCTCAACAACGGCCCTCAGCGCGCTCTGGATACGTACTCGCCTACCATTGTCAGAAACATGGGCTACAAGTCTCTCGAGGCCAACGCCATGGCTTCCGTCGGTCTCTGGCTTCAGGTTCCCACTTCATTTGCTTTTAGCTACCTGTCTGATCACTAGTAAGTGTCCGCCGCCTTTTACCCTAACTCGGGTAGTTCCTCGTAGCATGACGACTTTTCTAACATAGGTATTCCTCATCAGCAACTGGCGCGCCCAAACCGTCATCACCGGCTTTTCCGGCCACCTGCTGGGCTACATCTTCAACCGCAGCTTCACAAACGGGGACCTCGTCAACAAAAAGGGCCTCCGCTACTTCGCCGTCGTCTGG